TGGCCGAATTTTGCTATTCAAAAGGCTTTTTAATGGCTGCATCGATCGACACGCCGTTTTCGCCAAAAGATTCTTTAAAATATTTTCCAGATCATGACGCCCTTTGTTTTTTCCAGTTTTGAGACAGTTTTGCTGCAAAAAGCTACATTTCTTAATTTCGCCGATCGCTTTTGTAGGCCGACGCTTCTGTCTCTGTAATTTTAGAAAAATCCGATGCGGAAGCGATATTTCGCGAGGCGCATTTTGTTTTGAGAGTATAGAACTAGATCTAGATTGTCTATGATCTAGACCTAATGTTTTGCATCTCTCAAGATTTATTGTTCCATTCCAGTAGAGTGTAATTATACTAGGCCAATGACTTTCAGTTGATGTTAATGCACCCATCATTCCTTTCATCAAAAGGGGGCCCAGCTAGTTATATTATATTTGTGAAAGTTCGTCACTTTGGCCGCCATAAACTTCGGAACCACATAACTTTCGAATTTAAAAAAAATTACGGTGGTTCAGAATCATTTAAAGGGTGCGCAGTTTATACTGAGGAGTCTGAAGTCACTGTAGTTTAATTTTCAGTTTTTCATTAGTTTCGTTTAGATCTAATCTTGGGAAAGTCCGTGTTCTAAGACACTATTGTAAACAAGTGAGCCTTCCGTTCTCAAAGTGTGCGTGCACTGATCCCACAATGACTTGACAATCGATTCTTTTGAGTCCGTTCATCGAACGGGAAACTCAGCTAGTTGGACATAAAAGCCTTGAACATCTAGCCCTCTCTGGCAAAACTGAAGGCAAAAGAGGCAGGGGTAGACCCAGAGCAGCCTACCTGGAGAACCTAAACAGATGGGTGACGAGAAAAGATCAGGGTAATACAGCTTTTTTGAGCGCATCCGAGCAAAGGAATGAATGGAGATCCATGATCGCCGATGTCCTTCGCAGATCTGGCACTTGACGATGATGATGATGATGATGATGATGATGATGATGATGATGATGATGATGATGATGAAACACAGCTATAGTAAACGTCATCTCGTTGCCTGTCTTTAAAATTTCATATGCGGTGGAATCAGGCGCTTGTCTTGACGTGAAAGTACGAGAAGCACATCTACACAATAGTGGTCACACAGTGCCGGGAACTAGAAAGAAAGACCAACAGAAACAACAGAGGGAGAGAAAAGAAGTAGGACCTGCCAGTGGTGTCCTCCAACCACTAAC